TTGTGCCCATAACTTCCAGGTTAGGCTCCAGACCGCCTGCTACCCTAAATAGGACAAGCAGTTACAGAAAAGGGATGGGTGGATGGATCGATGGAATTATTTTTCATTAGCATTTACTTTCTATTCTTCCTATAGGCCTACTAGTTGGTCTTCAATTTTGTACAAATTGAGAGGAGTTACTGGGACTGAGTAACAGTACTTGGATGCTTTGAAGTCCAGTATTGGGGGTTGAAGTATCACATGGAATGGTCACTAGTACTGTATACTGATGTGGCCTTTCCTGGAGTGGGCAGCGCATAGTGAGAAACGCTAGGTCAGAAGTTATATGGTAAAAGCCGAGCTATAGAGATATTCTGTACAAGTGACAATATTCCTGTTCACTTTCGATAAAAGGAGATGTATGAGACAATAGCTGATAACAGCAGCATAGCTGTCAAGTTTAATGATAATTTATTCAGTGTTAAAGAGCTGTGCTCAAAAGACATTCAAGACAAGGCCTTGTAATCTACATGTTTGTCAGAAATTCAAAATAAATCACATCTATGGTGATTTATAATTTAAATTGATGCACAATTCATAGCAGAAGAAGCAGCAGCATTCTGGAACTCAGTGGGGACAATGCCATTTACCCTTGTGTTGCGTCCTATGCTGTCTGGCTTAGGCTCCAGACTTCCAGTTAACCTAACTGGGATTGATGGTTAGGAAATGTCTATCTGACCAATTATCAGGACAGGGTTGCAGGGATGCAGAATTGGACTGCGGATGTGAACCCAAATAACATGAGGAGAACATACAAATATACATGCAGAGAGGGGTCCGCATTTGAAGCCCAATCCTAGAGAAATGTGAAAAATTTAACATTTATGCAAAACTGGAAACAAGCATGCATGAAACAAAAATGTGAGCAGAGCGAACGTTTTGAGCCACTTGGTCAGGTGGGTTTGCTGTAATGAGACGATGCATGTTGTCATCTGTTACGTGAGCTGATCTCCTGACAGGGCATGAAGCCTCTGCTCTGTTTCTGGCTGCCTAAAATGAGTGTCTGTAGAGTAGAGCAGCGTAAATACTTAATGTGTTTGCAGTTACGAGGCAAAGGCAGGTTTGAATACGTATAAGGCTAATTCTGCAGATTCGAGGACTTTGTCATTGAAGCTTTCTCATTTCACCATTTTCAGACAAACTTCTGATATTTTATCTGAACCTTTGCTGCACAAATTGTACAATCATGCTCGTCTTACACCGATGGCTAAACATTTTCCGTTTGCGTATCTGTAGTCTTGTCCACATTGACATAGTCAACAGCAACTATACATCGTGTGCCAACCGCTTTATTGTTGCAAATTTGTGCGTTTCACGGTCTCAGTCTAAAACAGGTCACTGAAGCGAGAAATCGTAAATGAAAAACCAGTCAGCTTGGATCCCTGACGGACTGTAGGTCTTCATGGATGAAGGTCACTGTTAAGTTATATCTGTTTGTTTCCCACAGCTACTGTTCAGGGTCAGAGCACAGATATCCCAGAATGCTAAAGGTATATCATGAACTCCAACACATGACAAAAGACACATATAGTTATGGGTATAAATAACATTCTGGCCCACTTTTGTCCTTTAATGCATGATTCATTTTCGCTTCTTTTCGGCCACAGAAAAAGAACAGTTGCAGGGATCATTGAATGCCCTAAACTGTCATGACAAACATGTTTGTGGTAAGTGTATGTAAACTTTTGACCATAACAGTATGGTATATAAGTTTATTGACTTTAACATACACCGTATCTCATTGTTACTACTGCATTTATACCCTGCTGTCTGTGGAGGAGGTAACCTGAAGTAGAAATGGTCGTTTTCTTTATCTATAACTGGTGTGCAGATAAAAGACACTTTCACATGCCGTGGGGGGACGACTGATGCCAAGATACAATTTGTCATTTTTACTGTAACAAGAGAAAGGTGTATAAAATGAACCAAGCTGGGAAATGAGACTGGACATTGCTTGACAAGTCAAGAAGATAATGGAAAAGATATCTGTCCATTTACTGTAACATTATCCAGAGCGATGTCACACTGAGCCTCAAAGTACGGCGGCCGATATACGGCAGCCTGATAAGCGTCAATGTGCAGCAAAATCAGAAAACACAAACGAAACAAAGAATGCTGCGCACAATCTGACGTTTCGAGCCAAAACTCTGTTTTCCCTGTGTACATGTCGACGCTGAAAACGGAGTTTCTTAAAATCTTCACCCTGGATGGAGTTTTGCAAAAGCTCCGTTTTCAGTGCCCTGAGACGCCGTTTACGTGTGGACAAAAGCCCAAGATGTATAGAAAAAGGTACGTTTTAAAATATACCAGTGTACGTGTGGACAAGGCAGTAGTGTCTTGGGGGGTGCTAAGTTAGCAAAGGGCGTCAACTAGGCAAGGAGGGCTTCAACTTAGCAGTGGGGGCGCTAAACAGGCAAGGAGGGGCGCCAAATTAGCAGTGGAGTGCCAAGTTAGCAGGGGGGACCAATTAGGCAAAGGGGAGGGGTACCAAGTGAGCAATGGGGGGAGCCAATTAGACAAGAGGCCAGGAGGGGGGCGCCAATTTAACAACAGGGGCTGCCGACTAGGCAAGGGGGGTGCCAAGTTAGCAGTGGGAGCACCAAGTTTGCAGTGGGAGCACCAAGTTAGCAGTGGGAGGCACCAAGTCATCAGTGGGGGGCACCAAGTCATCAGTGGGGGGGTGCCAAGTTTAGCAATGTGGAATTTAATGGATGGGAAAGGCGACAACTTCATTTCATTTTAAATCATTGCCAAATGGCTCATATGATAAAATATTGTAATTTGCAATGTTTTTTTTACTTTGTTGAAAGCTAATACCTAGAAATAAGGAACTTTCCTGTTATTATGCCAACTTTTATAGAAAATCGTGCATCGCTATTCTGCCTAAAAATAACAAGATATGGTTTTTGGTCCATATCGCTCAGCCCTATGGACCATACAGAGGAGAGGACAGACATGCAGTTTTCCATGATACGAAGTAAATGAGAACTGTATTTTTTATTACTTTGTTTAAATTTAAATGACTACCTCAGTGACAGACAGCAGTGTGTTATGGTTAACAATGTAACATCTTCTTTTAAAGCATGTACTATGGGGTGCCACAGGGCTCAATTTTAGGGCCATTATTTTTTTCTCTTTACATCAATGACCTCCCATCTGTGTCTAATGTTAATACAATTATGTATACTGATGACACTGTTTTATATGTTCATGGTAAAACAGCAGAAGAAGTTGCTCAAAAGTTAAAAGAGGAAATGCAGAAGGTATCCATATGGCTAAAAAACACCTGTCTAACTTTAAATATTGATAAGACTGTCTCAATGTTTTTCACAAATCGTCACAGACTTGCAAATTGTCCTGATATCTTGATTGAAGGTCAGAAAATAAAAAATGTTAGTGAATTCAAATATTTAGGTGTTACATTAGACCCAAATTTAAGCTTTAAAAAACACATTAAAAAATTATCAAACACATTAAAATTCAATTTAGCAAATTTTAGATACATAAGAAACTCACTTACCATAGAGGCATCTAATATGTATCTAAATGCAATGATAATTCCACATTTTCTCTACTGTATGACAAGTTGGTCTCAGGGATGTAAAACTGTCTTAAGGCCCTTGGAGTCATTATACAAATGTTCTCTCAAGATTCATGACAAGAAAACACGTCTGTTTCACCACTGTCATATTCTAACTAAATATAGTATTTTAAGTTTTCAAAACTTAATCATGTACACAAATATATGTCTTCTCTTCAAGATTATCCATGGTATTGCTGCCCCTCCTCTGAAGAAATTTATATCTCTAAGCTCTGAAAAAACATCTCGAGGCTCTCGGTCAACTGATCGAGGGGAGTGTAGGGCTCCCAGATGCAGAACCTCTTTTGGCAAATCAGCGTTTTCATGTGTATCGATACAACAGTGGAACACATTACCAAGAGAAATATTAAAATGTACAATTTTTTATGAATTCTCACGCCTGACAAATCAATGGCTCCTCTCAGCCCAAACCTGCTCTCATAGAGCTGATGTGTGAAAGTGTAGTTTGCACTGAAGTTTGGGAGTTGAAATGTTCTGAATGACTGTATGTAAATGGTGGTTGTATGCTATTGGATTGGATATATGATAATGCTTTTATAATGATCTGTCTCAATTTGCATTTTTGACAGTTTTATACACTTTTAACACCAGCCGGTCCAGGGACTACAGGTGTGAATTAGCAATAGTGCTATAACCTGGTACAAAGCATCTCTCCTTTTTTTGAGGCTAATGTATTTTGTACATTGTCCCTGTTCAAATAAATAAATAAACTAAACATATTTGGGTTGGAAAAACACATGAAAGCATCTTAATCGGGTCGTTGCATGTAGACTTAGTCATATTCAGCATGTACACAAACACATACTCACAGGCCAAACTTATATATATATATATATATATATATATGAACTGCTACATCTTTGAATCTTTGAAATGCTGCATCTTTGATGATATGGAAAAGCATACATTGCTCAATCCGTGACCTGCTTTCATCATTCAATTAATTATTTAGCATTGATCCCTGACCCTCATAAATAAAGCATTTCAACCTCCATAAAAGCTTAGGGTATGAGTCCATTAAAGCACAAACAAAACATCTAACATGTATTAGAGGATTGGAAATTATGCCCCGCCCACTCACCTGGGGCAAGAAATTTAGACGAAGGGTGAGTAGAAAAAAAAATGAACACTAGCCTGTTGGCTAGAGAGAAATTGTATGTCAGACTACTTTTTTCTTTCTTTTTTTTTAGCACAATTTGCTAGTAGCAAAAAGTTCCACTCCTATGTCAGGAAACCTGGGATTGTGGGAGTAATGGGGGGCGGGGGGCTGTAACCCCCCAATAATCAAAACCAGCCAATACAACCCCCTGGAGCCCTTAAATGGGTGGAGACATCAACACCCCCCCCCAGTGCTCAGTCCAAAGTAATGTCTTTGCATCACTTAAAATCATTCTTCTTTTTGAATGTAGCTACTAAGGGTCTTCATTTGTTGTTGAAAATCTCAGAGTAGTTATAGGAATTTAAAGCTGATAATCAGACAATCGCGAGTAATAAAACGAACTGTGTTTTAAGTAGCTTAGGTATACACTATCGGCAATACACAGGTTCACTAGGTCTGATCATTAACAAGGCCGGTTCCTGGGTGTACCAACGTCGGGTCCATCCCACACAGCCCAATCTCCCACAATGCAACAGGCAACAAAAGAGGGGAGAGGACGGCTGCAGCACAAAAAGGGGGAAAGTTTCTTAAATGCAGACTAGAATCAGATCGGGAAAATAATGCAAGCGATTGCAGCAGGTACGATTTCTGCAGACTGAGAGCAAACGTAGTTCTTTTTTTTTTTTTTTTTTTCCTCGAGTCGCGCGTGCACACAAGCGCACGGGATCCTCGGACGGCTCGCGAGTGCGGAGGCAACATGAAGGGTGACGCTAGTTAGCTAGCTGGCTAACTCTGAATCCGTCCAAGTATTTCGATTAAAAGACAGCTTCGGCGAAGCTCCGAGTAAAACGAGAGACTGGTGAGTTTTATTAAAATAAAAAAAAAACAGGTATGCAAGAATGCCTTTTCGTTTTTGCAAGAAAACGTGCCTGAATTCTGCCATGGCTATCTAGATAGCCGGTCTAAATTAGCTGGCGATGATAAGACCAAATAAATGCAGGAGAATTTCAAATGTATGCTGGATATTTACAGGCGTTGCATGATAGATATTTATGTATTTTGTTTGTAAGTTTGTCTCTTACACGATACGAACAGCTTTGTGTTTGAAGAGGTCTTTATTTAGATATTGGGCCTATGGACGGCAGCGTGCTAACGTCTTTTCTTAGCTGCTGTAACAGAAAAGGCATTTCCCCCTCAATAGTTTGTTGATAGTCGTTTTGGGGTTTAAAATCTTTTGCCGGTATTTGAATTTAATTGCAGGGCGCTAAGGTGGCCGTCGGAGCCCCTTTGTCAGCCCCGGGGATGAGCAGGCCCTGGGCATTTAAAGGCTTCCTCAAAATGATTAGCCTGCTGGCTACATACATTGCCTTTTTACCTCAATAATGGGAGTAATTAAACGCTAAAAATCACCAAAAGGGGCTTTGGGCTGGTGTTTATCGGTGTTTTGGACGTACGGAGCCTCCCGCAGACGCACACCCGCCGGAGAGACTGCATTCTGCCTCCAGAAATCCGTCACCGGTTCACTATTGTTAAAATTATTTCCGATTTTTAAAAAGGGAAACGTCTTTACGGCGAGGGGAAACGTGGTAGTTGGTACTCTGCCTAAACCCTCTGTTCCGTTTAGAGATCGTAATTATACATTAAACCGGCATTTACCTAGTACCCGCGCTTCTTTTAGATTTGGTGTAAATATACAGTAATTGGTCATCCCTATATTAAAAATGTTGGCATGTAGTTTTAAATGTAAGAGCATTGGCGGTGTCGATGGCACATGGTTTGCGTTATCTGTGTTTTCAGCTTTATACTATACTATACTATCAGAGTTAAATGCTATCAATGTTTTTTTTTTTTTTAGTTCTTTATGACTTGCTAACGTGTGGGTGGAAAAGATCTTATAACTGGACATTTAAGATCTTTTTTTTAGTGAATAAAATGTGTACAATAGTTTGTCATGACTAGGCACTATTAAGAAAGATGCATCTGAATTTATATTTTTATTCTAGATTTTTATTCTTTTCCAGTCATTCTCTTAGTTGATTTAAGTTTCATTTGTCTTGTATACCTGTAGTTAGGAGGCCCTAACTGGGAATTAATGCCTTGTTGCATCTGTTCCAGGGGTGTCTGCTGGAGTCACCATATGACTGGACAGCTGGGATAACATTTGCACTTTGTTGGTGGAGCACAAAATTCCCTCAGTCAGGAGGGACATCAGGATGAAGAAGATTAGCCTTAAAACGATAAGAAAGTCATTTAACCTTAAGGGCAAAGAGGACGGTGAGCTAGTGATCCAGCAGCCAGTGTTGGCAGCGGATTTTAAGGACGACGCCCTGTTCGGAGGGTGCTACAGCAAAGACCTCGCGAATTGTGACCTGGGCCGCGACGATGACAAGGGGCCCAAGAGTCGCTCCAAGAGTGAGAGCTTGATGGGGACGCTGAAGAGGAGGTTGTCGGCGAAGCAGAAACCGAAAGCCAAAGGGGGCTCCCTCTCTGCAGACTCCGTCGACGAGGACACCTTCTCGTCCTCCTCGGCGCCCATCACCTTTAACGACGCCAAGGCCCAGCGGCCTCTACGCTCCACTTCGCTCCGCAGCCACCATTACAGCCCCTCGCCCTGGCCCCTGCGGCCCGCCAGCTCCGAGCAGACCTGCATCCAGATGGAGGTGAAAGTGAAGGCCTTGGTGCACACTCCAAGCCCCAGCCCGTCCATGAACGGCGTGCGCAAGGACTTCCATGATCTTCAGATGGATGGGCTGTTCCCAGGTTCCAGTGACGCGCTGAAGAGCGCCGACCCTCTAAATGGGGACCTTCATCTGGATATTGACCATGTGCCTGTAGAACTGGGCCTCACCCCTCAGGATTACATTCAGTACACTATGCCTTTGGATGAGGGCTTGTTTCCTGTGGAGAGCTCGCGGTCCTTCTGCTTGGACAGCTCCTCACCCATGGAGGTGGTGCCACCACTAGAGAGCAGCTCCCTGCATGTAGATGATGGGGCAGGAGATCCAGATCTGGTGATGTCCCCAGAGCTCTTCATGGACTCGTCGTTAAATGGGCTACTGATGGGCGTGGCCAGGGGGGGCATGGAGAGTGCTAGTGCACAGACCCAGCCCCCGTCACCCCTGCTACCTCTCCTCCCTGTCAGTCACACCCACAGGAACTTCCCCGGGTTCACTGGGGCTGACCCTCAGGTGGCAGAAAGGGTGAGGCACCATCTTAACTTTGACCCTAACTCTGCGCCTGGTGTGGGACGGGTTTATGATGCAGTCCAGAGCAGTGGACCCATGGTCGTGACTAGCCTGACAGCAGAACTGAAGAAACTGGCTCGACAAGGCTGGTACTGGGGCCCGATCACGCGTTGGGAAGCTGAAGAGAAGCTGGCGAGTCTGTTAGACGGTTCCTTTCTGGTGCGCGATAGCTCAGATGACCGCTACCTCCTGAGCCTGAGCTTTCGTTCTCAAAGTAAGACTCTCCACACGCGGATCGAGCACTCCAACGGCAGGTTCAGCTTCTACGAGCAGCCAGATGTGGAAGGTCACACTTCCATAGTAGATCTCATTGAACATTCTATAAAAGACTCAGAAAACGGAGCCTTCTGCTACTCAAGGTCACGCCTACCGGGGTCAGTGACCTATCCCGTAAGACTGACCAATCCTGTGTCCCGGTTCATGCAGGTGCGATCACTGCAGTATCTATGTCGCTTTGTTATTCGCCAGTACACCAGAATTGACTTGATTCAGAAATTGCCTTTACCAAACAAAATGAAAGATTACTTGCAGGAGAAGCATTACTGACTCCAGTGAGGCTTATAGGACTTTTGGGCAATTTGCACTTTTGGGATCAAAAATACAATAAAAAAATATTTTACATTCATGGACATTGTTTGGTGCCATCCCTTTCTGTGAAGATTTGGTGACTTTTTGTGTGTGCGATTGTTCAGTGTCCGGCTCTCCCTTTAGCTAGAACAGGTGAATTTGCTGTTTCTCAGATCCGGCTTTACTGAGAATGAAGAGACTAGACCAGTCTAGGAAAATTGTTTGCATGACTGTAAATAAGCATCGAGTATCAAATTTGGTCGTGAGGAACGTAGTTTAGTGAAATAAAAGCCATACAAAGAAATCCTTCATAATTCCCTTTTCCCAAAACAACCAAAGCACACTGGAACGCTGGATTCTGCTGGAAAGGGGCATTTGATCTGGTACGATTAAAGCATAGAACAAACCATTTGGTATATATTTTTTGCCCCTTAGTTCTAAGTACATAAAGGTAAAGACCAGTGGTCTGTTTAGACTTTGATTTCTATCATATATCCACGTGTTAGACGTTGCTTTTGAAACATCGTTCTTTGCCGCTGTCATCATCGAACTGAGACACAGCTCTGTGCGTGCTGCTTTCCTAGCTAAAGGCTTGAGATACTGAAGAAGATGCTTGTTGGATTTTACCCTTGGCACCAATTCATGCCATCCTGTTTGTATTGCAGCCACTCTGTAGATGCTGCTATTTGGCATTTTGGGGGATGTTAATGCACAGTTGGCTGGTTTTGACATGAGACTCTTCCTTTTGATTTTATACTGCTTACATCATGGCCTTAATGTGTCCTCTGGTGACCAGCAAAATACCTAAACTTGAGTGGGAGATGTTAATGTTGAATGGGTAATTTAACCCCTTTCAGCTCAGCCTGTTTGAAATTCCTTTTGGCTCCATGATGGGGGGGGCTTCTTTTCAGTGACGCTTTCATCCGCACACAGGGTAATCATTACCAGCAACTTTTGCATTGAGGTGTGGTTAAATATGCACTATAACTATCTTGGCTTGAGAGTAATTTCTATGAATATTGGGATTAAACATAAATATTTGTATAAGTTTCAACAAATTTTGCTGAGGTTTCAGTATCATGGTAATATCTCTCGAACTGGGACTGTTTAGCTGATTGTATGAACACCTTTGCTTGAACTGTATATTCAAGCACAATGTTTGGTTTACTTGGTAGCTAAATTTACAGTTTCTGCAAACTCTCAGTGCAGCATTTTGGATATAAAGCAGCGGTTGTCCCTGCAGGTTTTCGCTGTTGAACATGTAGCGGATCTGGAAACACCAGAGGAAATTTATTGCACGAGGAAAGAGCAGGTCAATGGAGTGTTAGTGTTAAAGCTTCTATTGCTGCTCAAAATAGCAAACCTACACAATACACCCATTCTGAAAAATTGTCATTAAATGTAGAGAAAAGGCTTATGTAGCCTCAATGCGTATTTTTGTATATAAAGGCCTCAAAGCATGTTTTGGAATCTGACATTCTGCAGCACTTGCTTTTTAGCTGGCGTTTTTTATTTTTTTTTTCTCCTCAAATGTTAACCACACTGGTCACATACATTCTCGTCTTGTTTCCCAGAAGTCATTGCTTTTAAATATGTTATGATAAAAAAAAAAAAAAATGTGATCTTGATTAAAATGGTCCCTCACCTGTTGTGTAGGTGAATCTCTTGGTTTTCACTGAGATGCAACAAAATTTAACTTTCAGTCTGGGAATAGTGGAGCATTCAGAATGGGCTCTCCATTTGGGAGTCTGGTTTGTGACCCTTTTCTGTAGTGATATTTGACATAGTGCAACTCCACGTTAAGATGGGTTATGATTGGGTAACTCAGCAATGCATTTTCCTCCTTTCTGGATTCTGCCGTGAGGATATAGTTCCTGTTCATTGTTCTTAATTGCATTTTAAAACCACCATTGATGTCAGTTACCTCATGAGTAATTATCTTTATGTGACAGATTACATCATTATTGCTCCCAAATGGTTTCAGACTTCCTACCACATTTTAGTGGAAATGTTGGGCAAACTGGCTTCGCTTAATAAGAATAGAAATACCGGAACAATAGCTGTACATGCAAAATTTTTAGGGAATGTTTTGAGGAATTAGGTTACTCATCTCCCCTTCAGTTTTTGAGTTTGAGAAAGTTTGCTATGGATGAGCTTGGCTGTGGTGTTGATTTTGTGTGTGTGTGGTAAGACCACAAGAAAAAAGGACTGATTCTATAATCAGCTAAACCTCACATAAACCGTAAGTTATATGGAGCGACGTAACAACTAAATGTATGGAATCTTGTGGAATGGTTTTGTCTGTGAAAAGGCCGTTTGGCATGGCGTTGGGGTAATGCTTTTACTTTGAAGGTGTGCTGTGAGATGTTTGAAGGTGTCATGGCCAGGTGTGGGGGGGGGATAAAAGCATTTCGTGTGTGTTGGTCGACTGAAGCCGATCTCAGATGCAACAGAGATGCAAAACTGTGGTGAATGAAATGAATGAATGAAAAGTGCAGTGGTTTTGGTGATGCCCGTCATTTTCTGACACCATGTCCGATGAGTGCTGACCTGCACGAGGAAGGCTGCAGGCTGTTCGAATCCTTTGTGTGTTAGCTGGCTGACGTATGAAGCACAAAGCTGTTTTCTCATCGGACAAGCTGTGTTTCTCTTGTTTTATACTTTGGGTCGAAATCAAACGTTTACATAATTTACATTCAGTAATTGTTTCCCTGAACTTTAATTTCATAAATGATTTGGTACAGTTTTTTCTCCTTTAATTTGTGCTGCTTGACTATAATGGCCTTTTTATGACAAAAATGAATGTTAATTTCAAATGTATGTGGAAAGACTTGGACAGTGTGAGAGAATAGGATCTGTCAATTTGCAAAACGGTTCAGTTGACTGGATAATGGTTGTGCCATTTAGAAATTTCTGTAGTTTACATTTTATGCGTTGTGTGTGTGTGTGTTTGGGGAATATTTCAGTTTGAATTGTCCTTTTTCCTTTTTTTTCCTTTTTGGAAAAGGTCTTTATTGATTTTTCTTGCACATTTAATACAGTTTAAAGGAGTTTTGTATCTGCTGATACAAAATGTAAATAAAAAGAACTTCTTCACAAGTGTTTTGCAAGTTTTATTTGCTGCTCATGACAATGTGAATCTAAGACTGGCAGGATCACCTTCCAGATTAACTGGTAAAATAGAAATGGTTCCAATTTTATGGTGCCTCTATTTGAAGGATACTATTCTGGGGTTACAGCCCAAACAGCATTCTCTGAAAAATTAAGGGAACAAAGGTTATTTTGGGATGTATATTGGAGGCCTCATTGCTGAATACACATTCAGTTTAGGGCTTAGAAAACTGAGATCAGACAAGCTTCTCACAGGGTCCAGATGGCTGGGCTGAGTCATGCTAGAGAAGAGCCACATGCCGCGCTTTGGGAAGGCTCTCAGGCAAACCTCCACAGGCACAATCTGCCGCTGCAGGGTTTCAGGCGATCTGCATCACTCATCCTACATGTTACAATTGACCATATCCCAGGAATTTGACAGCCATTGTCGGTGGCACTTTGTTCATTAGAACTCTATTGTAATGCACCATTACGCAAATGCCGCAAGTGGTTGATAAGTGAGAATTAATTTAGATTCTCATTTTGTTCACTGGCCCAATCATATGCTATGACGACTGTTGAAATAACATATACATGTCAACTTTGTTTTTACAAAGGTTAAACTTTCAATTGAAAGGCGATTCTTAAAATGAATTGGCTACAGGGAATGCTTCTTTAAAAATGGAATTTCATATTTTGTAGAATAAGTCATGGTGACGTTACCATAATCCCTCTTTCAGTCTTTCGTTTATGACTGTCAAGTTACAGTGTCCGAGGAGCTGAGGTCCTGCCAAATGATGCGGTCTGTAATTCGCCGAGGTCCTGCCAAATGATGCGGTCTGCAATTCGCCTGGGTACCACCCAGCTCTGAAGTTTAAGGCAGCACCAATGCTCGGGGAATTTAATCAAATCTTCGTCCGGAGTTGTTGATTTGTTACTGATTGTGAGGTCATTCCGAAAGCAGTGCTCCAACTGAACCACACCTGATATGTCAATCAGCAGCCTTGGAAAATCTAATTTCCATGGCATTGTTTGTGCTTTTCCTATGTTCTATCATGCACATGGCCATCTTATCCTGAAGAGGGCAGCAAAGGGCACTTTTTCATTTTGCTTAGGCAGGTACAGTGGTGATAGTCATTTGTATCCCATATTAAATATCTGGCTAATACAAAAATTCTATCTATCAGTTATCACTAGAATGATTTCATTCTCAGTTCAAGGCATTTTGCATTCACTATGTCAAAAGCAATTGCAGAGTTGCTTAAACTATTCCTCATATGTTTTTCAGGAAAAAAATATTTTATGGTTTCTTTTTTCACACTGAAACAGAGTTGGATCCAGAGTATAAAACTCCAGATCAAGATTTTTTTCAACCAACCAGTTGAGCATCAAGAGTCTCAGTCACAGAGTATTCAACTGGTTCTTTGAAACAAAATCTTGATCTGGAGTTTCATTCTCTGGACCTGAATTACCCAACTCTGGAAACAAACTACATCATGTTCTATTTGATATCCGTCCCTTACATACACAAACTCTCGTTATATTGGTACCAGTACTCCAAAAGCTGCAAATCCAGCCTCCACCAGCATAATGCTGAGTTTGTGTATCAGGCTCAGATGGAGACTATTACAAATACATGCTGTTGACTTTTCTCCATACTTCAGAATGAAAAATCAGTATTTATGTGAAGTTTGTGTTGGAGAATGGTTAGGGTAAAGATTAAGGTTAACATTGCTGGTAGGGTTAGGGTTGAGGTTTAATACCATAGCTAGGTTTAAGGTAAGGATAGGCAACCCTGATCCTGGAGTTCTGGTATCCAGCTGGTTTTCCGTCCTACCTTGTGAGTTGCTATCTGCCTGAGATCAGGTGTGGTTCATCAGGGACCAGGATGGAAAACCTGCTGGATACTGGCACTCCAGGATCAGGCTTGCCTGCCCCTGCTTTAGGGTTAGGTTTATGTTGCAGCTAGGCTTAAGATTGGGGTTAAAACTTTATTTTTAAATATTTAATATCTTGAAAAAAAAAATCATGCTTAATGGGTCTAATGCCTTTCTGTTTCTGGACTCCAATAATCTGCTCCTTGAACTGAAGTTCTAAACTCACAACTGGTGGAAGAAAAATGAGCGACATTCATTTATGGATGACACCATGCTATTAAACCCAGGAAATATGTTTCCCAGGAGAGTTTCCCAGATCCCAACGTCCATATCAGTCTCCTCAATGATGTCATAGGCAAGGGCCAAGCACGCCGATGGACCTCCTGTGCTGGATCCAGGTAAGACACGAATAACAATGGCCTTATGCTCTGTAACGCCACTCGCTGCTCACCAAGCGTCTTCCTGCAGGATTTCCAGAATAGTTCTCTCCAATCTAGCCTGTGTGCCATTAATATGGCTTTCATCAAGTGTCCCCCTACAGGGCTTTGAAGGTTAATCCCTCTCTGGTCTTGGCATGAGCCCCATGGCATATTAGATGACAAACACTTATACTGGTTGATTTTACAGTAGAGGTTGTGCCAGTACTGAGAACCATTTTGATTAGGAGACCTATACAAACTACATGCATAAAACAGAAATATCACCCACAGCTGGAGAATTAAGCCACTGCAGACAAATGGATCTTAATTCCTACCATTCGATGTTGTAATATTGAAATTTTGTGTTTCACTTTCTGGAAGTACATCCTCCATGGTTCTGGTATGTTGTTACAGATACTTGCATCTTGGCTCTTTCCAGAGAGGCCACAAAGTGGTCAGCTCTACTGTGGTCCTGTGGCTGCCATGGAAACCTGCATGCCAGGTGCCAGTGGAGGGCGCTCTGCCTGTAGTGGGCACTGGGAACGACTTCAAACGGCTAAAGCTGTGCACCCTGAAGGGCGTCGCTGTGGGGCCTGGAAGCTCCTGGCGAGGCTGTGCAGCTGCCACTAGGCCGCAAAATGGCACACGGTAACCATCCCAGATTAATGCATTTGGTGAACTATCAAATAACCTTCCTTATGATGTCAGTTACAATGTAACTGCCTAACCCACAGGTCAGGGGGTGGCCTTAAGCTGTCATGTGCCAGAGCTGCAGAGACAGAAAACATCATCCCTTTCTGCTACGGGGCTTTGCTCTGACCCGGTACATGATAAACACGGTGTCAGCGAGGAAGTGAAAAGAGGATCAGGAGCTTAACAAAGTGTCTGATCGCTACATCACTGAAAACATGATGATCGGACTGTTAAGTGTTGAATGTGTTTTTCTTGTTTGTGAGACACATATGTCGATGCAGAATTGCATTGGATTTTTGAGAAAGTCGCCTGCAGAAAATGATGCATTATGAAGTCACCGTAGGACTATGTTAAAAGTATTTCTCTTTCCTTGTTTTATAAACATAACACCTCGTTTCCCTCGCCCAGACTAGGATCACCGGGGCCCCACCCTGGAGCCAGGCCT